CAGCAGGTAGGAAGATGGTCAGAGACCCTCAGCACAGGACAGCAGGTAGGAAGATGGTCAGAGACCCTCAGCACAGGACAGCAGGAGGAAGATGGTCAGAGACCCTCAGCACAGGACAGCAGGTAGGAAGATGGTCAGAGACCACAGCACAGGACAGCAGGAGGAAGACGGTCAGAGACCCTCAGCACAGGACAGCAGGTAGGAAGATGGCAGGCAGGCCTTCTGTGTACTATGAACTATGCACACCAAATCTGATTTTTAAGAAGGCATTAATCAGCCAGGTACAGGTGTTTCACACCTGTAATCCTAGCCACTGAGGATCTCAGTTCACACCAGCTCACACAGGGAACTCTGTAATAGTCTTACCTTCAATTAACCACCAAAAAGCAGAAAGTAGAACTATGGCTCAAGTGATTAGAGTGCTAGCTTGAGCAAAAACCTCAGGAACAATGCCCAAGTCCTAAGTTTAAGCCCCAGGACCATCACACACACACAAAAAAAAAGGTAATTGTCGTTTATCATGAAGATCAGACTCATACAGCTTGAAAATCCAATGTTAAAACATGTAATATTGAACTTAACAGTTAATGTTTAAAGTTAAACTTCCCAGTGACAAGCCAAAGTCACTTATAAAACTTATAATGTATTAAGAAACCATAAAGATCATCTCAACCCTTTTCCTTCCTTTTCTACAGGAATCAGGTCTTAGAGGAATATGGTGGGTCACAGCCAGGACCAGGTTACAAGCATGTGAACTCAGGACAGCTGTGAACATAGCTTCAAGGACTAGTCTGTAAGCACAGAGACCCTGGACCAGATTACAATCACAGAGACCCTGAACCACACTACAAGAATAATGCCCTGAACCAGACTACAAGCACAAAAATAAATCCTGGACCAGGTTACAAGCACAGAGACCTTGGACCAGACTACAAAAACAGGACTCAAGACCAGTCTGTGTCAGTCAAGCACTGGTGGCTCAGGGCTGTAATCCTAACTACTCAGGAGACTAAGATATGAGGATCACGGTTCAAAACCAGCCTAGGAAGGAAAGCCTATGAGACTCAACAAAAGCCTGGAAGTAGAGCTGTGATTCAAGTGATCCAGTACCATCTTTGACCAAAAAAAGTAACGGAGAGCACTCAGGCCCTGAGTTCAAGTTCCAGTACTCCTCCCCACACAAAAGACTAAGCTATAAGCATGGAACCAAGGATTAGTCTGAGAACTCAGGACCCCAAAATCAGACTGTGAGCATGGGGACCCAGGACCAGACTGCAAACACGGATCCAAGTAAAACAATGCCTTTCTGCCTCACACCTGAGCTTCGAGTAAACAAACCCGAAAATTAAAAAGAAAAAAATACAAATAAAATTGACTCCCCTAGGCAGGATCCTTCAGGCGCTGACCCGCAGTCCCAGGGTTTACCCCGCCAGCCCCAGCTGGAAGGTTTGGCTACCAGCTGTGAGGAGGCTCCCAGAAGCACTCCTCGGCCTTGCTGATGAGCTAGGGTGACTTGTCCAACCTCCCACCCACCACAGCAGGGGGATAATGAGGTTCCTTTAAATCCCAGTTTAAGTCAGTAATCCTGAAATTCAGCACAGCTCTGCTACAATCTGACACACAGTGTGATGTAAGCCAAGACACCTGACTTCCAGTTTGGATTCCGCCACCAGAATCCTGGCTGTATTACCTTGGGTAAAACAATAAAGTTTTCTTGTAAATTAGTATTTGTCCCCAAAATGACCCAAGTCCTTTAGGCATGAATTTAAATAAAAACAAAATTATAATTATATATGCCATCATCTCCCAATTCTTAGTAGCCTGTAGTGTGAGATCATTCACCTATCCATAGTAATATACTATTTACTTGATCCTTGAGTCCCAATATATAAAGCCCAAAGTATGCTGGGCAGTCTGGGGGATAAATGAAAAGTCTTTCCAATTTAGGACCTCCTGGGCCTGCAACCGTGCCTCTGGAACATGAGACAAAAGCTCAAAGGCACCACATGGCCAAGGTCTGGGGAAAGGGCTCAAATGCAGCCAGGTCTCCTTCCTGACAGCAACAGAGAGGCCAGTGTTAATGTGTCCACTCTGTACTACTATCAGGTTTAACGTTTCAAGGAGAACCCTCGTTTGTTGTGGAGGAATAACCACACCCAATTTAAGGGCTGTGGAGACCTTCCTCAGCCCCTCTTGAAGGGTGAGAGCATGCTATGGAATCTCAGGTATGCACCAGTCCCTCTTCTAGTCTCCTTCCTCCGGGCTCCTGCCATATAAATAAGATCTTAAGACGTTGTGTGTTCACCATTTGTGAGAGCTGTCTTTAAAATCAGAGAATGGTGGAGGCTCTCGCCTGTAACCTTACCTACTCAGGCAGCTGTCAGATCCTATGGGTAACAAGAAACCATGCATGTCTTTAAGGCTTATCAATGTGTCCTGCCCAGCTCCAACAGCAGGTCAACTCCTCAAGCGCCGGCTCCTTAGAAGCAGCCCCAGCCGCCAGGCACTGCTCTTGTGCCAGGAAAACAAGCTCTCTCCTCCCTTAAACTCCTGTGACTCAGAAACATCGCTGTGTTCATTTCTCTTTTTATATTAAACTGTTAGTTAAACCTTTAATGAAGCATGAGTTGTATAAATTTAAAGGATATAATAAAGCATTTTGCCATCCTTTAAACACTAAAGCTACTAGGAAACTAACTTGGGATACCAGAAGTTTTATTTTGTTTGTGCTAGCCTGGGGCTTGAACTCAGGGCCAGGGCGCTGTCCTTGAGCTTTTCTGCTCAAAGCTAGTGCTCTACCACTAGAGCCACAGATCTACTTCCAGGATTCCCCCCACCCAACCCCTTTGGTGATTAATCAGGCTGGCTCTGAACCACAATCCTCATATTTTAACCTCCCAAGTAGCTAGGATTACAGGTATGAGCCATCTGTGCCCAGCAACTTCCAAGTTTTTAGGAGGTAGAATGGAAAATTGTAAAGTGTTTTTTATTTATTTTTGTTGTTGTTGTTGTTGCTCGTGGGGCCTGAACACTGGGCCTGGGCACTGTCCCTCAGCTCTTCTGAGCCACCTTCCCAGCCCGTAAAATGTTTTTGGGTTTTTTTGGTCCGGTTGTGGGGCCTGGGTACTATCCCTCAGCTCTTCAGCTCAAGGCGAGTGCTCTACCACTTGAGCCACAGCGCCACTTCTGGCCTTTTTTTTTCTGCTTATGTGGTGACTAAGGAATCGAACCCAGGGCCTCATGTATGCAAGGCAAGCACTCTACCACTGAGCCACCTTTCCAGCCCAACCATAAAGTGGTTTTTAAATAATACATCAGATCCTGCTTTGGTCCACACAGGACTAAAGGAAAATTATCATTGCCAAACAGCTGATAAAACCAGGCACTGGGTTACTCAGAACTATTTTACTGTAGATCACCGTACTTAGTTTTTAATTCATGAGTTCCTGTTAGCTTTTACTTTGACATATACATAGGCTAATCAAAAAAAAAAAAACTATTACTCCCTTTTTCCATTCTCTAAAGCTTTCACTTTATATAGGAAAAGATCTATTTAGAAAGGGTGACATTAATCAAGATGCATTTTATTATAAATTAACACGTTGAATTGAAATTCCTTTGTATAACTACGTAACAGATAAAATATTTTTAATAGTATTAAAAAACAAACTGACATGGTAAGTAGTAATCTTTTGTACTAGTTAAAGATAATAAAAAGTAATAAAGGGCTGAGAATGTGGCTTAGTGGTAGAGTGCTTGCCTAGCATGCACGAAGCCCTGAGTTCAATTCCTCAGTACCACATAAACAGAAAAAGCCAGAAGTGGTGTGGTAGCCCAAGTGATAGAGTACTAGCCTTGAGCAAAAGCAGCTCAGGGACAGTGCCCATGCCCTGAGGTGAAGCCCCAGGACTAGAAAAGAAAACAGAATTTTAAAAACTACCAGATATGTCAAACATCAAGAGTTGCCCTAACGACTATCAATGTGAAGTCACTCAGGAACAAGGGAGAGTACAGGCTTCCCTCAGCCCTATCCAGCATGAACACACCTTGACAGGTAACGCCAATGCCCTGTTCCCGTGTCTAACAATGCCTCATACCTGCCTTCCACCATTTTTACATGACTTTACGTACCTCTTACTGGTGTGAGGGCAAGGCCACAATTCATGTCTCTGTGAGGCATATCTGGTAGATGATTTTACCCCCATTATAGCAATGAGGAAAACAAAGCCCAGCAAGATCCACCCACCTGCTCAGGTCCCTCAGCAACAACGGAATCCAAAGCTCACAAGTGTCTACTATAGTGCTCATATCAACAACGGTGTAAGATCCTGTATGCCCACTTCGATCAACAGCCGTGATAACCTGGAGCCCTACACTTCACTGAGTGCCACCTGGCTCAGCTAGATAGAGTGCTAGGAGCAACTAAAAACACCCCCATCCCATCCCCTCCACCCTTCCCCCAACTGTGTCTCTGCCATTTATACAGGAAATCCTACCCAACCCCAAAACCCCTAAACAAACACTAAAATGGATTAAGTTTAAGTTTAAATTAGCGCAAATGAAGCATTTTATATTGTTGTATAAAAGTGTTGGCTTGGAAAGATGTTTAAAACTAATAAAAGCTTATTTTGTTTGTGTGATGTTAAACTTTCTCTCATATGTTGCTTTAAAAAATTCAAGATGCCAGGCACCAGCGGCTCACACCTGTAATCCTAGCTACTCAGGAGGTTGAGATGTGAGGATCACAGTTCAAAGCCAGCCTGGGCAGAAAGTCTGTGAGACTCTGATCTCCAACTAACCACTAGAAAACTGGAAGTAGCACTGTGGCTCAAGTGGTAGAGCACTTGCCTTGAGCTGAAGAGCTGAGGGACAGCGCCCAGGCCCAGAGTTCAAGCCCTATGACCACCAAAAAAAAAAAAATTCAAGATCCAAACAAGTTGGTTATGAAACTAAGTATAAGCTTAGCAATTAGCATGCATCCATTTTTCAGAAATAGTTACCTGATTGTCGTATTTAAGAGACTGTGTCCCAACCAAAAATCGAATGGCATCTGTTTCTGCAGTCTGAGGTGTTAGAGCACGGGCCTGCAGGAGAGAAGAAAAGATGTCATGGAAACCAAAAAGGTAGTTTATCTCCTCTAATGCAGATGAAAGATAAAATAGAGTACCTGGAAAAAATTATACACTTCTAACACAATTCCATTTCAAACCTGTACATGGGGTAAGTGCATGGGTACAAAAATAAGAAATAAAGATACAAAGTATTTACGTAAAATAGTTGTTAAATTATTCTACAACAAAACAATACAGCAGAAAATGACTTCTAGCAATAGTTATGCAGGAACTTTAAACCAACTCCCTGCAGAAAAGTGGAAAGTTAAACACAACCAAGACACTAAATAAAACACTTTATTAATCTCATGGCCTCAGAACCTGTAAAGAAAGCAAGCCTGTGAAGTCCAGAATCTTACTCCTTCCCACCTAGAGGAATTTGTCAGCTTGGAAAATGTGGCTGGAAGACTGAAGCTGAGAAGAGCTATGGCAGACTTTGAGGCTTAACCTTAAATTAAAAAGAAAAACACAATGTAGGGACCCACGCAGGAGAAAATAAAGCTAGTAGCAAGTAAAGTTTAGGGGCTGAGAATAAAGCAAACTAGAGCTAGAGTGGCTGCACATCTCTGTCTTTGATCTAACAGAGGTGACTGAGCAGGAGGACAGAGCACCTAGGCCAGGAGCTCTTGCCAAAAACAAGTCCTCTACAGGATAACATCCAAAAAAATTTATCACATGCAATGCCTAACTTTAAATTTTTTTTAAAAAGGCCAGTTACACAATAAGACAAAATCACATGGACAGAATTCAAAAGGAATTAGATGCTGGTGGCTCACAGCTGTAATCCTAGCTACTCAGAACGTTGAGATCTGAGGATAACAGTTCAAACCAGCCCCAGTTGGCTTTAACCACCAAGAAGCCATAAGTGGAGATGTGGCTCAAGTGGCAGAATACCAGACATGAGTGAAAAAGCCAAGTAACAGTGTCCAGGCCTCAGTTCAAACCCCAGTACTGGAATAAAAAAAAAAGATAATATTGAATAATTTTTTTAAAAACTGAAGGAGTGGTCCCAAGGGTTAGGGACAGACAGTGCTCACACACTAGCTCCACCCTTGACAGCTGTGTGGCCACAGTCCCATCACGTGACACCTCTGTACGTCTATGCTTCCATCTGTGAAACAAGCACCCATACAAAATGGGCTTTCTCCTCCTACCTGACTTTTTTGTAAGTAGGGGCAGGTCCTGGGGCTTGAACTCAAGGCCTGAGCACTGTCCCTGCACATCTTTTGCTTAAGGCTAGAACTCTACTACTTGAGCCACAGCTCCACTTCTGGCTTTTTTGGTGATTAATTGTGGATAAGAGTCTCATGGACTTTCCTGCCTGAGCTGGCTTTGAACTGCTATCTACAGATCTCACCTACCTGAGTGGCAAGGATTAGAGGCACAAGCCACCACCAATGCTTGGTTCCCTCCTATCTGGTTTTAAAGATAACTCCCACGAATGCTGATGAACACACAATGTCTGAAGCTCTCATTTATATGGCAAGAGCACAAAGAACGGTCAGTGGTGCTAACGTGGGTTATCGCAGCTCGGCACCCACTGCAATCCCCAGTATAACTACCAAGCAAATGCCCAAAGCGGGCAACAGGAGAACTGAGGACAGAAAAGAAGGTCTTCCAGTCTCACTGCAGGAGGTCTGCGAGTTGAAAAGGGTAGAACTGTCCCCTGGATTCTTGTGGTACCATGGTCTGTGCCAGAGAGGTCCCTGGGAGGTGAAAGCGCTGCCTTGCCTGTCCCACAGTTCCTTCCCCGGAATCTGCAGCACTGACAACATACAGCACCACCAGTAACATATGGGGTGGAAAAAAACACAAAGGAAAATAAGACCAGTTGAAAGCTACAGAAAAAAATAAAAGTTTATACCAAAAAATGCAAGTCTAGACACCCCCTACTTCAATAACTAGAAAATCAAAACACCCAAATGTAAAACCGAATTCGGAAATCCTTACCCAAAAGACCACCAGAGACCGTCACCAATGTAAAAGCAAAGGAGTCTTTATTGCAAGCTCAAGCTTGGTCCTCCACACACCAGGTAACTGGTGACGCTAAGAGGCCCCGAGCCCAGGGTTATAGTACTTTTTAGGGAAGGCAGGGACTTTGTATACATCATAGCATCTTATAACAAATTATTATAGATCACGGGAAAATCATAAAACAATTCTATAGTATGATTGGCACACTACAAAGCAGGAAAGGACCAGAAACAGGTTGTTGGTTAGATCAGAGGTCTGATGTACTTTAAACTGGTTGGCTTGCACCACAGGGAGTCTCAAGGAGATAAATGCTAAACTGCAGGATTCCTTTCTTAAACACTGTCTAGGGCCTGACTGCTGGGTCACCGGGCCCTCCAGCACCTGCCTGCCTGAGGTTTTCCAAAGGATTGTTTATATTCCTAGTCGCCTGGGAATTGCTTCTACTGTTCATTCCCAGGTCGGGCTCCTGGTCAGCTGTATAACTTATACCTTACAAGATAGTTACTAGCTTAAAGATGGAGTCAGGCATCAGGTTCTTCCCAAACAGTAAACTGTTTTAAATTGTTTCAGGAGTTTTACTGGAGGCAACGTAAAGAAGCACATCTCCAGATTACATTGTAAGTGATGCAATCAACAGATTTTATCCAAGACCTAAAAAGGCATGTGGGAAAGAAATTAAAGTGCACAGTTCTTTAAAAGTGCCTCAGTAGGTAACAGGGTCAAACTTGTTAATCACACAGTAAACAAAGTTAATCCCATGTGATACCATTTTTCCCCAGATACACAAGTTTAAGTTTTTTGGGATCATTAAAGAGATTTAAAGTTATACCAGGTGCTGGTGGCTCATGCCTGTAATCCTAGCTACTCAGGAGGCTGAGATCTGAGGATCATGGTTCAAAGCCAACCCCGGCAGGAAAGTCCATGAGACTCTTACTTCCTGGTGCTGTGGCTCAAATGGTAGAGTGCTAGCTAGGGAGAGCACCCAGACCCAGAGTTCAAACCCAATGACAAACGAGGAGAGAGAGGCGAGAGGGAGAAGAGGGAAAAAAAGGAGAAGAGGGAGGAGAGAGGAGAGAGGGGAGAGGAGAGAGAGATTTAAAGTTAGCATGATCCTAGTTTTTTTTTTAGGATTTTGATAGTATTTATGTGTAAACATTGGCTTAATCTTGATAAATACTGTTAAAATTTGTTTTCCTGGAGGAAAAAGTTGAAAGTGATGTTGAAGGGGAAGACACTGAAGAGACCACGCAGACACAGAGTACAGCCAAAAGAAAGTTTTTATTACCAGCCAGAACTACACCGGGCAATTGGGTGCCCAAAAAAGTGCAGTGCCAAGCTTGGTCTCATGGCCTCTTTAAAGCGGAAAGCCCACCCCCCTTATTCGCTCAGGGGTGGAAAGTCCCTAACGGTTCTTTCCTACAGGTGCAAGCCAAGCATGAAGTTACAGAAGCTAAAACAACGCTGTAAGCAATCATGAGCAGGGTAACATGTTTGTAACCATGAAGCTTCTATGATCATTTTTTTTTGGGGGGGGGTCTGGTCATGGGGCCTGGGCACTGTCCCTCAGCTCTTCAGCTCAAGGCTAGCACTCTACCACTTGAGCCACAGTGCCACTTCCAGCTTTTTTCTTTTTTCTTATGTGGTGCTGAGGAATCAAAACCAGGGCCTCATGCGTGCAAGGCAATCGCTCTACAACTGAGCCACCTTCCCAGCCCTCTATGATCACTTTTATAACCCATTACTATGATTGTTACCTAGAAACAGAACAATGGCTTACATATATCTTTAAATGTTAAACAATAAGGAACAAGTCTCTAGGGGATGAAGTCCTCCTTTAAGATGGAGTCACAGAACCAAAATGGAGTTATAGAAGATAAAACTCTAAGACAGTGCAGTTTGAAAAGCCCTCCTACAGTGGTGTCTCAAATAGTCAGCTAAATTGGAAGGAAGTGTTCAGGGGCCTGCTAATTTTAATCATGATTTCTAAAAAAACTTCCATTTGTTTATGAGACAGAATGTTGCTATGTGGACTAGGCTGGTCTTGAATTCAAAATTCACTCAACACTGGCTTCAGAGTTCTGGATTACAGAACATCACCTCACACATCTTAAAGAAGAGGGAGTCCAAAAGCCTACAGCACCAGATGACAACCAATTCTCACTGACACACCCACTCCATCTCACCTGCCACCGCCTTCTCTACCACAGCTCACTTCTAAAAGGCCACTGAATGGATTTGTCCCGTTTGTAATCATGTGTTGTGTTCCTCCTATGTGATATCATGGTGAACACACATTGGAAAAGTCAGGATGGAAGAGTAATAGTAGATGACGGAAAAACAAGTAAGATAAAGTTGAGACTCGGGCAAAACTGTACTCTGCACATGTTCACTTTTAAGCTTTGAAAATGTGTCCAAGTGACCTAGAATATTGGCATCAGTGGAATACAAGAGAAGAGACCAAAATGTTCTGTGCATCTCTGTCATTCTTCCGTGCGTGCATTTAAAACTTTTTTCGGGGGGGGGGGGCGCGGGGATGGTGTCACTGGGAGGTGGCAGTCCTGGGCTTTGAACTCAGGACCTGAGCGAGGTACCTGTGCTTTCTTGCTCAAGCCTAGCCCTCTACCACTTGACCAACACCTCAACTTTCTGCTTTAGTATCTTTTTTTTTTCCTGTAGATGGTTCCTGCCTGGGCTGGCTTCGAACTGCGGTCCTCAGATCTCAGCCTCCTGAGTAGCTAGGATGACTGGCGAGAGCCACCCGCACCCGGCTAAAACCTTAATAAAAAGAGAAGATGGGGTGCAGCTCCAGCTTCATGAGCATTATGGGAACACGTCAGCAAACTCGTTCCCAGAAGAAGCCGGGCACGGGCTGGAGGGGAGGGGCGCCGGGCACGGGCTGGG